TGTACTATGCATTAGGTGTTTATTTTGTACTATGTATTACATGTTTATTATTGCATATTCATTTAGTTGTTTTTAATCAATTGCTTTTTATTATTATGTTAACGTCTGATGAAGGGTTGTACTGCCCAGGACGTGCAGTTCTTGAGAGGGGGCAATGTTACGAATTTAGTCTTATTCTAATTGTTTCTACTCATTTGTGTTCATTTTTACAGTTTAATTTGTCGTATCTAATGTGATTTCAACCCTGTTTACCTTTAATATCATTTCCACTGCATTGCACGGCCCCCATGCTTTAACATTGGTTTAAATGGTAAACTCGCCAAATATTGCAGCTAGCGCCAAGTTGGCGACGGATTTGGCGACTTAATTTTTGGCGCCAAATTTGGCGATATATCGCCAAATGTGGGCGATAAGCTTATGACCATGGCAACCCTGCTCCTAATAACCCTGTCTGGCAACCCTATCGCGGTATTGTAACACTATTGTATTGAATGTATTACTGTATTGAGCTTTTCTCGTACGTTCGGATTTTGCTAGACCTTTCTATTTCTCGATTATTCTGGCAAGTGCAAGAGGTTTCTGACCGAAAGGTATAAAAATGCCCGGGCCGGCTAGTCAGTCAGTCAGATCTCAGCTTTCAAGCAAGTGATACCTCTCTGTGTTTTAAAAAGAGAGAGACGATTGCATAGTGAGTGTGTTATTGCTTTTATTGAGTTATTATTTTTGTGCTGAGTGTTTACTATTGCTTTTGTTAGTGTATTACATCTGTGTTATCAGTATTTTCATCGATTGTACGTGACTTTCTCGAACTGTTCTACAATTTGTGGAGGACTGTTTTGGCAAAGAATAAAATTGTTTTGGATCCCGCTCTTCGGCTTCAATCATTTCGAACCCCGAAAAACGCAACAATATATAACTCTTACCATTATCTTTCCCTTTCCATTGTTTTTTATAAAACCTGTTCTTAGCAGATCTCCATTCAACAAAAGAAACATGGTGCGCAAATTTCAAGTATGTGGGTCTAATAGTTTGAAAACGGGCATATGTTATCTCTAACACATTCTAAGCCCTCGACACACCTTCTGGAAATCGAGTCCCATAAAATCAGTTCTGAGGGATTTCTACACAAAAAAAAAATATATACGCACCAAATTTTATATCTGTAGTTATAACCGTTTGGGTGTTATCGTGATATGTGAGTGAGTGAATGTGAATCGCTATTATCCTTTATGTGTATCAATATGGTAATATTTTTAAATAAACCTTCCCAAGGCATATAAATGTAGATACCCTGCTCATAAATAAGTGAAATTCATATAGAAAGATGAAATATAAGACTTATTTATAAGTCTTTTTTCCTAGGATTTCTTTTTAAAAAAAGCTAATAAAAATACATTACCTTCAGACTTAAACAAAATTAGCACTGATTGTATTTGATATTAAGGATAAATTTATAAGTTCATAACAAAAAGATATATTAATTTTATTATATATGTAAATTTTACTGAGTAAATTTTGGGATACATGGTACCGAATTCTAATATACAAAAAATTACAGAATTAAAACTTATTAGTGAAAAAACGTTATAATCAATCGTATATAAGACATGATACTTTTCATGCCTGATAATTTTTTATATGAATTGTTTTCAACTTATCAAACATTACAAGTATTTATATAAAAATCGTCGTTAATAATACAAAAAAAAAAAATAATATTTTCTTGAATTAAAAATATTAACAATAAAAAGGAAATCTATTGATTTTTTCTAAAATAAATAAATTTATTTAAAATCCCCAATTATATCAATGGAAGTTTCAATGTTAGAATTTTTTTTTATCTACCTCTGTGAAAAAAAATTTAAACCATTACTACACTGTTTTCTCTTGCCTAGAAATAGGGATGTTCTTAATGATAGATATTAGAAGGCTATAATAGCTCTCATGATGTTAAAAACCATCTCATAAATCAGCTTCATCTAAGCAAAATCCTGCAGATGGTATAAAATATCCAAATAACTATTAGTGTTGGGGTAAAATATTCATTTATTCATAGCTATTATATTTTATGATAATGTTGCTTTCATAACTTATTTTATGAGGTTTCCTTTTGGTTTTACTGCCTCATTTTCGATATTTTATAGAATTATATTGATTTTACACCTTCCAGTGAACCAGCGCTTATCATATGTAATCTTAACAAATTGGCAAGAAATACAGGGCTGTGGTTTAATACAATGGCACTTTAGATCAAAGATAAAAACTTTCTTTCAAATGTAAAAAAATAAATATTCAAATTGTAATATTTTTAAATAGGAAAATTACCTCTTTAAGATTAACTTTTTTATGTGTATGCAAATGAAGAAAAAAAAAGAAGATGGTTTATATATATATATATATATATATATATATATATATATATATATATATAAACCATCTTCTTTTTCTTTCTATTCGGCGGGAACACATTACTAGTTGATGCACTCCCGACCTACGTCTACACTCCGAAAAAAATAGGTTATGTTTTTGTTCATATGTTATTTAGTTTAATGATTTTTTAATATTTAAATTCTTCATATATAATTCTTTCCTTTCCTCTTGGTACATAGCATGACAAATTATAGGTGAAGGTTGGTTGGCCGCAAAACATGTTTAAACCTGCAATCCTGGTTCCTAAGGCCAGGAGTTTGTCATTATACGACTGTGCCTTCTTCCTAATTATAGTTATCTTAGGTTTATAACTATCTGTTTATTTTTATATTTTCGTTTATATATTTTTGTATATGTATATTATATATACATATACACAAATATATTGAATATTTTATATTGAATTTTTTATATTGGATTATATATATATATATATATATATATATATATATATATATATATATACATATATATATATATATATATATATATATATATATATATATATATATATATATATATATATATATATATATATATATATATCAAGACTATATTCCTGCCAAGTTTCGTGATAGTAGCTCAATATCTTCTGGGTGCATATATTGTTGTGACAAAGTGTATCAAGCTAAATTAGTAGAATATGGTATTAATACATTTAATGGCAGCTGTATGCATGCATTTGTTTCCCCATTTTGTGAATTTTATCCTTGTTTTTCTTTACTTACTAAAGTCGAAAATCTAATGTTCTAAGTAATACATTGAACGGTTTTTTTAAGTAACATTGTGAGAATGCAATATTGAATTTCACATCATTATGTTAATTATACATTTTCATGAATGTAACTTTTCACTTAAGAAAATGGACTTTAAAAAGAGATCAGAAAACACAATCATTTATTGGTTTGTTTAGATTAAATTACATACAAAGCCATATTTTAAAAATTTTGCTGCCTAAAAATGCACAAGCTATAGTAATGAAACAAACTTTAAAAAAAAGATCTTTTTAAGTATCAAATTTTTCGGCGACGCAAAAAGATATTTTATTATTTTATCATCAACACGTATTAACTTTTAGGATCGATAATTAATTTCTGTTTTGATTAAAATAAAATACATCCCATCTTATATCGTTTACCTCATTGGAATAAAACATCAAATATAATCGCGTAAATCTGTTTTGGATAGCGAGACACTTAAGGGTAAAATGCCAAAAAGAAGACTCTTTGTTTAGGGGACTTATATCTTTAAAAGTTTCCAATAGAGCTTAGATTTTTTGGAAATCTTAATAAAACATATTTTAATAATTCTGCAGATATACAAAATATTTTTTAGTAATTTTTTTTCTGTTTAATTTATGTTGTACATAATTTTTGAGACCTCATAAAACATGTTTATAGTTAGGTATCATTTTTTTTTTAAAAAGTAACTCTTAAATATGTAGAATAGTTTTTGCATATATGTAAAATAATACAGAAAACATAGTGACCTTTTTTGGTAAAATATTAAGATGGTTTCTTTAGAAAAATTATAAGACTTTGTAATTTTGAAAATTTTTATTCTCCCCCTCTTTTTTATACGTAAAACTATTTTTAAAAGGTTCAATGTACTACTTCCATTTAAAAGATGGGTTCACTGTATGCATAAATATCCTGTAAAAAAGTACAAAAAATCTGGAACCATATAGTGTAACATTTTTTTAATAAAGTGTACTTAAAAGTAAAAAAAAATATGCTTTGGAGAAAAAGTAAAAAAACTAAACGTTTGTTTACATTTTTATGAATTACTGTTTTCATATTTTAAGGTTCTTTTTTAAACGAACATATAAGTTTTATACATTTTTAAATTCAGAAAAATATGCACTATTTTGTAATACTAAACTTGAAAAAATGGGTTTTTGAATGTGTATGTTTTCCTGGTTCTCTTAATAAAAAAGTGTACATAGGATAATGCAAATAATAATGCAAAAAATACAAATAATTTTATTTCAAAATGTTCGTAACATAGATGAATTGCATTCTACTATTCTTCAGGTCTTAAGCAACAATAATTATATTAGATGGAATCATTGGATGAATCCGAGAATTTCACAAACCCCATACATATAATTAAAGTTTTATAAATTTTACTTCCTTTTAAATTTTAATTAGAGCTTCGACATCGGCAGTTCGGACCCATATTGCAATGACATTCTCCAGAACAACATGAATTCACAACATATTCTTTAAGGACACGGCTCTCCATTTTCTGGTAATTCTGCTTCAGGTATCGATCTACTTCATGAGGAGGTACTTGTATCGAATAATCTTTCCGTGGGTCATAGGGAATTCGAAGATCCTTTCGCGAGTACTGATCCCTTCTAATGGAACTCCTCTCTTAGTTCTTTTAAATTTTAATTCCTATAGAGAAAGACAACCATAAAATTAATGAAAGGTTTAATATATATTGTATAGCAACAAAAATTTACAAAATATATTCATGTTAAAATAATTTTCACTCATAAATCTTCGGTTCTGTACCGACATCAGCAATGCTATTCGAGGAGTCGTTGTTGTTTGGAATGCATTCACGCAGCTGCGGCCGAGTGGTTAAGGCTATAGACTCGAAATTCATTTGGGTCTCCCAGAGTAGGTTCTAATCCTATCGACTGTGAATGTTTACATTTAGATCGTTTTAAGCAGACGCGTAACGGTTGTTTTCTCTTCAGAGGCTCATCTATAAACGAGTACAGGTGTACACAATCCCGAGGTGTCCTAATAATAGTTTCCTTTTCCCAAGGGGTTTACTGTATTTTGGTAAACAGGCGCATCACGCCCCCGGGGTGCCCTAGTGATCCTTCTCTACTTTCGACCCTCTTTCTTTTGTCATACATTTCTTTATTATTAACATTTTTAACAAATGTGTGGCGCAGTACAGGCAAAATTGTCTCTTGCTCCATAAAGCACCACATCAACCACTTGGAAAGATTTCAAATAGTAATTACTAGATTGTGCGGTACTTATATATGTGTCATCAGGTACTTTTGAAATTCTTCATTCTCACAAGTACTAATTCTATATTTTTTTCTTTTATTTTTATTTCGCATACTGAAACTTACCGGTATATTTAAGGCTTCTTGAGAAGTAACCGATACACAATCAGGCTTGACTTTATTGCATGAGCATTTGCATTGTTCTGGACAAGCGGGACTATCGAATTGACAGTAATGGGGATGACAGGGTCTAGGAAGGGAAGTCATTGGCCTTTTTGTTTCCGGTTTATAGTAATTTCCCTGTGAAAAATATAAGTTTTTAATTAGTTTTTCTTTCACAACAAAAAAAATTATCGTTCATTATCATTTTTAAGACTACACAGTACCTATTTATTTATTTATTATTATTATTTTGGAGATAGTAATAGTAAAAGTATATATATATAATTCGTTTTTACTTTCAGATTAAATTATGAAGTTATTTCTGAAGGTTATTTCTGAAAGTTTGACCAGCCATTTATTTACAACTGTAAATATTTTTTGAATTTTTTTTAAAACTCTTATAAAATTCATAATTTTTAAAACTTTATAGTCATTTTTAGTAACTTGTGTGTGTGTGCTTATTTAATTAGGAAAAAAAGTTAGTATGGATTTGAAAATATATTTCGTTGTTTTTTAATAATTATTTTTATAGATAAACTTAGAAAAATATGAACATTTTTAAAATATTAACTATAGCATTTTTTAAAAAACAGCTATTGACCTCTGACTTAAATATGTTCTAACTTTTACAAAACATATAATTAGGAATATATAAAAAAAAAACCTAGACTCTATCTTGGACACTAAAGAAAAGTCTTAGGCGTCAGATTAAACTTACATCTTCAAAATTAAAAGCCTGAGTAAAACACATTTAAATTTTGAAAAGTCAAAAAGGAAAAACGAATAATCCCTGTAAAGCTCCATGTAATTTTTAATGTTATTTTTCAACTTATGTTCGACATTAAAAAACTACTTTAATTAAATGTGTCAGAAATACGTTTCTAATTCAAAAAATATATATTTTATAATATTGATAGCATTTGTTACGCTTACAGATTACTCATCTTAACCTAGTGTTGTCACAGAATATTTGAAACATAAATCATATGTGTACAAAATAATAATGATACTAACTTAAGCTAAAATTTCCCAGGTTTATACATAAAATTAAATATTTTTTTTTCAATTTTAAATCTGGACGGTTTAGGAGGTTTGAGTTTTTGTTTCACGACACTTTAAAATGTTGTAATATAGAACTCCAATATATGCTTACTATTTTGGCATTTGTAACATTATGGAAGTATTTAGTGTTTTCTGCAATATTTGTATTCGGAACATTTGTATTGAGAATTCCCATAGAAGAATAAGTGGAAAGGTGTATTTTAAAGGTGTTTCCATATGAAAGCCAAGTCGCCAAATTTGGTCGCCACAAATGATACCAACTTTGCTGCATCGGCAATATTTCACCAAGTTTCCATTGAAACGCAATTATAAAATAAGGTATTATAATTCTACATAATAATATTACAGTTTTTATCATAACATAAGTACAACAGAAGTATATATTAACGTATTAAACATCCGGATGTAAGATATTTACGTTCTTTTAAGTAGAAATTACACAAAATTTGTAACAATGTGTTTTGCTAAAATAAAATTTAATTTTTTAACATAAAAAGTATTTTAATTAATATCTTTAATTTGCTTAGCTGTTAGATGTTTATAATTATCACTATTTTACGTAATTATTTAGATATTATTTCATTATATATCATATGTACTTAAGAAATTTTATGTAAATGTCTGTGAAGTGTAAACATTTTCAATAAATAAAATTTCAATAAATCATATTCACTAACTTAAAAATTATAAAATAAAAAAAACATAAAAATATACCAATATTTAATCCAAAATTGCTCAATATATTATTTTGCATGAAACGGGATTCATAAATTTGTTGTTGATTTGTATAACAATTTTTTACACTAAAATATATACTTAGAAATACTAAGTACAGTACGAAAATTTTAATACTTGCTTTCACCAGTTTCGTCAGAATCGTGAATTTTTTAAATATTATTTTATCAGTAAAACAGATAGCAATATATGACTAATAGTTATTAGATTCATTAAATTTTCTTAGAGATTTTATACATCTTACTTAAGACTCCAGTGTATCGGCTATTTTGGGTTTGTTACGAAAATATTAACCCTAAGAAATAACTGCTTTTATTTTCAATCCTGAAATGATAAATCGATTCGGATGCAATAAAGCGCATCTGATGCAGTTAAGAACATAGAACGTTTCTGCGAGTACTTACGTATTATAGCAACCGAATTGGCTAAATTATATGAAACGATGCAAATGGTTGCCAATACAGCACATTTGACAAATACGAAATTGGGGTCGCAAACTAGGCTTGAACTTTAGCATTGTTGCTATAATACGTAAGTCACAAATGTAGAAGTCTCTTAAATCGCTATTTCGCAAAAGTGTTGAACTCACGTTTTGAAATACGCTCTTGAACTTACACATCTCATAACTTTGAAACTTTGCATAAATACTATTACAACATAAAACAAAATATGAAGAGTGTTTTTTTCCAGGTATAGAAATTAAAGGTGGCATTACTTTCCAAGATGGCGAACGATTTAACAGCTGTCAAGGGATTTATTCTCAGTTTGGTTTGGCAATTCATTAAAACGATCATCAAGCAAGGCGTAGATTCGTCGAATGGGCCCAAAACGAGATTGCCGTTGTTCCCGATTTTCATAAGCGAATTTTGTTTAGCGATGAAGCGCACTTCTGGTCGAATGGCTACGTCAACAAACAAAACTGCCGCATTTGGAGTGAAGCTTATCCACAAGTGTATGTCGAAATACCGTTACATCCAGAAAAACTGACTGTTTGGTGTGCTTTATGGGCTGGTGGAATCATTGGTCCGTACTTCTACAAAAACGATGAAGGCCACAACGTTACAGTCAATGGTGATCGGTATAGAGCCATGATTACTAACTTTTTCATTCCTGAACTGAACAATCATGATGTCCAGGAGCTGTGGTTCCAACAAGACGGCACAACATGTCACACAGCTTGTGCCACAATCGATATATTGAAAGACACGTTTGGTGACCGCCTAATTTCACGTTTTGGACCTGTGAATTGGCCTCCAAGATCTTGTGATTTAACACCGGTAGACTATTTTATGTGGGGCTATGTAAAGTTATTGGTCTATGCGGATAAGCCACAAACGCTTCACCATTTGGAAGACAACATTCGCCGTGTTATTGCCGATATGCGGCCATAAATGTTGGAAAAAGTCATCGAAAATTGGACGGCCAGATTGGACTACATCCGAGCCAGCCGTGGCAGTTATATGCCAGAAATCATATTTAAAATGTAATGCCACAAGATTATCTTTCGAATAAAAAAAATTCATGTCGATCGAATAATACATCGTCCAAAAAAATACCCTTTATTTGGTACTTTTCTGTTCCGTCGGTGCAAATCTCGCCAAGTTCACATTATAGACGGCAACACACATTATACACTTAAAAATATAAATAAATATTAGTTCACATTGGTTTTTCATTCATTTTTAATGTACAGTAGAATATGTTTTTGTGCGGTCCTTTTTCATGCGATTTTATTTTTGTGCGATTTTTGATGTGCGATCTTTTTTTGCGATGTATGAATTACAATGGCTTTGGCGCCAGTGTAATATTTTATGTTTTTTTGCCAGTGGCGTAACAGAGAATGGTAGGAAAACAGTTAGAACCCCCTAAAAATTATGTTTCGTCTTTAATATTTTATAAATTGGGCAAATCCTTATTTAGCGTTAGCCAAGCCTATGCCCTTAGAATCCTACCCTCCCCCCGTGGCAGGATGCTTTGACTCCACTGTAATTTTTTCTATCTATTTACCCATGGTGTAACAGAGAATCTTAGGACCTCCCCCCTCCCATGAAAGTCAGGTTTTGCCTTCCATAATTTATAAATTGCGTAAATACGTATTTAGCGTAAGTCAGGCCTTGCGCCCCAGAGTCCTGCCTCCCGTGATGTGGGGGTATACATTACGCCACTGAAATGTAGACACAACAAAACGCTCTGTTCATTTGTTATAAACAGTCTCCAGACAATGCGCATTCAGTTGCTTTTTCTCAACACTCCAGCAGCCCACGCTTAATTGAAGACGAAACTTTCAATGACAGTGACATTACTAATAATTTGTTAGATTATGAAGACGGACAAGAAGAACCGGATTCTTTGAGAGTGGTTAAAATTATGCAGGGATACAGCTTTAGAAAAAACTGGAAAAGCATTTTCTTACAATAGATACCAATTAAGAAAGTATAAAATGCCATAAATGGCTTCAATCATGTATATCTGGTTATTGTGACATTTACAAGCAACTGACCACCCGGCGCTCGTAATAAAAACGTATCACTTACTTTATGTTGCCAAAAAATAAATCGATTGAAATAGTACCTTCAAGTGACGTAAGCAATTTTGAACTTATTCATTACAGGGCTTTGAATTACGATGATTAGGAATGCATTAGGTGTGTGCGTTTTGAAAACTTATCCGTGTATACAATGAGAAATTATATGTTTTTTAAATGTTTCCATGTAAAATATTT